ATGCACCCAGACATGTGGGGTCCACCCAGGAAACAACTATATATCAAAAAAATGTTTCAGAGACACATCCATATAGAGGGCCGAAAAAGAGAGATTTACGGACCAAGAAAAATGCTCTTTCTTTGATAACCTTCATGGATATCCTTGGCACCACAATGCAAGGAGCATCCGTTTCAAAAATCTCCAAACCACAATCTCAAAAGAAAAATTTCATAGACTCACAACTAAGATCCAATTGAGAGCATTCAAACTACTTAGAAGTAACGCAAACAAAAAGGCAAAAAACTACTAATTTTTTAAGTCTTTCCCAAAAACAATAAATAATAATAAAAATAATTAGCAAAGAGAACATCATCCAAAAAATAGAGAAATTCATAAACTCAACCCATTCAAGCAAAGGGGAACCTTTTCGGCACCCCAGTCAAAAGTTTAGCAAATGGGAACTTTTTCCTCAACCAAAAGTTTGATTATTCGATTAATCTCCCCTCACCTTCCATTCCCTGTGAATTAATAAACACATCAAACACATCAAATACAGAAACAATTTATCAAGCATTTGGTGAACATTGTAGTAGCAGAAATTATAGTGGTAAAAGTAGTCATATAATTCATATTTCGACAAAAGTTACTATTGCATTCCCATAAAAAAGACAAGATGAAGTAACCAAATAGGCATAGCAATGAATTTGAAATGTTGAGGTACCTGCATGAGAAGGTTAGGTAGGAGGCGATGATCAATTCCGGCAGATGCCAAGGGTGAGGCCAGATGCTGCAACCCGGCGGACTGGAGCCAGCGTGCCATGACTGCATCTCCAGCATCGCTCCCTGGACGACATTTACAAATCAAACGAAAGGAAACTGACTGTTATATTTTCCATTTTAATCGACCATAATGAATCTGAGGAAAACTTTAACAAAGATACGTAGTATGATCAAAATTTAAATTAAAAAAAATAAGAAATAAATAAAGATTAGTCTTGCATTGTGTTTCAATATGCATTATGAAAATGACAGTTATATTTTCCATTTTAATCAACCGTAATGAATCTGAAACATGCATTACTTTAGCAACATAAAAGGGACTACGGAGCATCAATCATAGAGTACAGAACTAAAAGCAGTCATATAATTCATATTTCGAAAAAAGTTACTGTCGCATTCCCATAAAAAAGACAAAATCAAGTAACCAAACATATAATTCATACAGAGCATTGCTCTGTTGCATCTGGACCCTCCGCCAGGGTGATCATACAGAGCAGTTGCCGCAGCAGCATTTCTCTGTTGCATCTGGCCACAAATGCTACAATCACAGCACACTGAACAATTCAGTCAATTCAAAAACATACATCAACAAATCTACTGATCCAAGTAAAATATACTCACCTGAAATTGATAGGTTAAATTCAAAGCAACCACACACGAACGTGATTTCCCTTCAAATGAAATTCAAATCCACATCAAACAGAATTCAATTGACTTCGATCGTAGGCTTCCAATGCAGATAATTCAATTCAACCTTAGCTCTAAAAAACATTACAGAGACAATAAATGTAGGAGATAATGCAATCGAAGACAAAGACAAACATACATGCATATAAAGGAACAATTTTTTGAGATGAAGTACCAGATTCAGGGGAAAATGAACAATTTTTGGAGCGGATCGTGATTTCGATCTGTTGAATTGAGTGGTTCGGGATACGAATTGTTGTCAGATCTGAAGAAAATTGACAAAACAAAACCCTAATTGTGGATTCAATGCGAAAAGAGTAGGGTTTCAATGGCGACGGTGATGATGAGCAGCGGCGGTGGTGGTGAGCGGCGGCATCTACTCTCTTTCTCTATTGGTTGAGTGCCGCCATGTTGAGACCACCGTCTCTGTTCTCTTCACTTTCTCTGGTCGCCAGTTTCAGAAGATAGTTGAAGAGAGAACATATAGAGAGATAAAAGAGGGAATCGGGAGGAGACGTGGGAAGGGGGGAATGGAGATCAGAGAGTGTTGGGCGGGAATCAAAACATCATGTGAAGCATTGGTGTTAATTAGAATTGATCTGAGCCTTTCATTTTATATATTTTTAAAAATCGGTCAGTTTTATTATATAGATAAAACAAAAAATAATTAAAAATTAGATATATAAACATATAAAATTAATAAATTTGATTTTTATTTATTCAATTAAAATATTCATTTGGCCTCTCAATATCTAATTTTAAATTTTAAAAATTTATAAAATCTATTTAAACAAATTTAATTTAAAAATATTTCCCACAATCATATTTTAAAACTCACGTGTCTATCATATATTTAATTCACATCATAACTTACCTAACTAATAATAATTAAAAACAAATATAAACCATAGATAAATTAAATTTTATAAAAAATAGAAACCCACAATTCCATCTAAAATAAATTTTAAAAAAGAACAAATAGAAACCACACAAAAATAAAGAAGATAAGAATTTAGATATGGATCTCAATAAAATATAACAATATGTAAATTTGAATTATGATTTAGTAATATAATTATCTATTTTTTTTGTATATCTATCAAAATTTTAAAATCACTTAATGGAACAAATTAATCAATTTCTAAAATTATTGATTTCCCAATTTATAAAATAGATTAAAAAACCTAATGACTGATTTATTTATTTAATTAGTTTAGAAATAATAATTATCCCTTAATTTATGGATTTCAACTGGAAAGATAACAAAAAATTTCATAATCTCTCTATCCTAATCTCTCTCACCAATTTCCAAAAAAAAATATTAAAATTGCCTTCCTTCTCTCTTCCCCAAAAAATCAGATAATATTTTGGGGATTTTTTTTTAAGGTCCCTAATAATAACAATTTAGAGGATAAATGACACACAAAAAGATAGTGATGCCTCACGTCCCTGAAACAACTTGGCGCGCGTTTTTAATTATTTTGTGGACCAAAATACCCTCGCCAAAATCAACACAGAACCAAACTCATTCCGACGTCTCAGTTACATTCCAAACATCCAGCATCTTCACGAACAGAAGACCAGCAGAATTAGGGTTTCAACATCATCTGCACCATCGACATTACAGCTTCGTTATCCTCTCCAAAGATCATTCCCATTCCTTCCTCACAAATTTCTCTGACCTACGTTAAAGCTTCGTTTTCACGGCTCATCATCATCTCAGTCCATCTTCGTCACGTCGCATCTTCATCGCGGACCATATCAGCTCATCATTCAAGTTTCATCCTAACTCTGGTCAGTTTTTCTACAATACAACTAGATTTTCTCTGGAAACACAGTTAATAGCATTTTATAATAACCTTTCATAAATTAGGGTTTCAATTTCGTAATAAAAAGCTACCTGAATTTGAAAAAATTTATTTCTGTGTATTTTGAACATATTCTTCAACATGTTTGTTTGATTTTATCTGTAAATTTCTCTGGCATTTGAATTTCTCTGATTTTTGATTAATGTAATTTTGTTCTTTCAATTTTCTCTGCTTTGTAAATTTCTCTGGAATATGTATCCTTCTCTGCAATGTCAATTACACTCTTGCCCCTGTCTTAAGTTTCTCTGGTATTTATAATTTTCTCTGACCACATCGCACCACTTTCCTCCATTGAGTGTCTCTATCATGGTTAATTTTCTCTGCTTGTGTATGTAAATTTTTCTTGCATTTTAATATTATGAATTGAAATTTTCTCTGGAATGGAAATTTCCTCAAAAATGTGTAATTTTCTCCGGAATGTGTATTTTTCTCTGGTATGTTTATTTTGTTCAATTCTTGATTTCAATATGGTATACTTCTCAGTGCCATGTTTACATTACTTTGTTTATTTTATCTTTGCTAATATTTCTGCTGGGCTGTGGCTCACCCTATATGGGAATATCATTTTCAGGTACAGGTAGCATGCCACCTCCAAGGACATAGCTTGGGAGGCTAGAGGCGGACATACTTTTGTCGTTTTGTTTTTGATGTATTACATGTAAATACAAGCCAAGGGCTTAATGTGTATGAGTTAGTACTCTTTTGTTGTAACCAAGTGTTAACTTGGAAAGCTGTAAGCCCGTAGGGCATTTTGCTTTTATTGTTAACATGTAATACTTTTTGTAGTGAAACACTGATGAATGGAAGAATGTGGTTATTTCATATGTTAATGAATGTGTTATTTGATGGGTTTATTGTTATTATTTTGAGGGCGTTACACAACCAGCGCCTAGAGAATTGACAGAGGTACCATTCCCTTTCAGCTGGTGTCTGGTAAATTGGCTTGTTATTGTGGGGAGATGAATCATTGGCTTACCGTGCTTCGGGCGGGTAGAGCAGAGATTATTTATCATTGTTGTTTTAGTTTGACTATGCGTGTCATGTGTTACGATGATTATGATTGTGTAAGGTTGAATTGTCTTATATGTTGAGTGGATGTGTTCATGTATATTTGGACGCACTAGAGAGTGGTTGAGGGAGTTTCCTATCATGAACTATTTTGTTGAAGGTATCTCGTTAAAATTTCGAGTTTAAGGTTGAAAATGTGATGAACATGTGGAGGCAAACTTTGGTTGTATTTAGAGTAAATAATGTGAAGAAACTAGATTTGGTGAACATGCTTTCAAAAAGAAATAAAACTGATATTATGTGGTGCTTTGTCACAAATGGAAAATATGGTTATCGTGTCATAATTGTTTAAATGGGAAATGGGTAGTAAAAACAAACCTTGGTGTTGTTGAGTAAACTGAATGTTTTTTAGAAAAGTACTTATGTAAGCATACTTTGGTTATAAAATGTCACATTATTTGTATGGTATGAGATTATGTCACGACCCAAACCTGCCCCTAAGGGTTTGGCATCATAACCAGCCAGTAATTCATGATTACCAAAGGCTTGCTTAACAGTAATAACAATTATACAATACGAGGGGTTGGCGGGAGAGTGTAAATATTAAAACATAATGTCCGAAGAGCTGTGAGGACTTAAATGCACAAACAACTTATATATATACCAATACAGATATAAGTGTAAGTCCATATTTAATATATATGTTAAAACTGAAGTCCAAAACACGTCTCAGTACAAAATAAAAAACATGTTGGGGAATTAAATCCCAAAGCCAAAACAACTTATAAAACATTCACTTGACTCCATATGGCATTCATTCAAAAGATGTGGGTTTAGACCACCCAAAACAAAGCCTTGACAATAGCGGTTTCGAACCTCGTGGTGAGGCACAATAGGTTGGCTTGACAAAACGAAATTAGGCTGACGCCACTAACTTTGCTCCGGTGCTTGACCACCAACATATATACAATAAACTGTGAGTTAAATCCCAGTGAATAACGAATGTATAAAAGGGTTAAGAATGAATGTCATTTCAGTAATTAAAACAATCAATTACATCTGTGGATCAGTTATTCAATCAGTGTCTCATATTTCATGTCATATCAGTTATTTAGAAATCATAGCAGTCCTACGTGGTACATCCAATAGCAGAACAGTACAGTAGGTCTTAATAGACCGAACAGTCAGTTGATGGCCATCAAAACAGTAAACAGTATTAGTTCCAAACATTGGAACTGACAGAGATCACTGTAACAGTAGCAGTAGCAGTAGCAGTAACAGTCAATTGCTATGGATGCCATTAATACAGTTCATAAAATAGGACAAACATTCATTCAGTAAACAATATCATTTCAATAAGCATTACATTTAATCATTCAGAAAATAATTGTAATTGACCATAGCTTTACAACATTGTTACTCACAGTGGGTTAAGTCGATATAAGGCCTCAGATGCCCACATATATAAATCACATAGCAAAAACGCAATAGAAGCACCGTTCAATATTCATTTTCATCTTAATTCAACTCTCTTTATATGTTTCTAGTTTATTCCATGACTATGCGGGTCCAATTGGTGCCTAAGAATAATTAGAATATCATGAGGATGCAATTATGCATTTAAATGAGTTAGTCAAAAATTGCTGAATATAGGGTCTTCGCTCGAGCGCCACTTTGGTTGCTCAAGCGGACTGTAAAATTTTGAAAAACTTTTGGGAGCTCGATTTTCACGCTCGAGCGAGACTTTTCTCGCTCGCGCGGACAACATAAATTTTGGAATTTCCAGAATTGTAATTGAAGTTCAAATTTGATATTCAAAGCCTCAAAACTAGTATTTTTGGTACAAAAATATGGAGAACCATTGTATAATTTAGTAAGCACTCTCAATTAGAAATCATTTATTCAAAATCATGCTCCAATTGTCCAAATTTAGTTTTAACTCATTTTTTTTATATCAAACCCACAATATTAAAATATGAATTAGACTTTCCAAACTCTTAAAATTACATTACACGCATGGATTAAAAATCTAATTATAAAATCAAAACATTAGGATTAATTCCAAATTTCCATACTTTCTTAAAACATTTCCTTTATCCCTTCGAATATGAACTTGAATGGCTCAATTCTCTTAAAAACTCATGTATCACAAGAAAATACTACAAAATCAAATAAAAACAATTAATTTTCCGAATTAATTTCCACAACTATGAGTCTACTTAATTTCTTACTTAAAACCTTATTTCTTACAAAATCTATGAGACTAATTTCAAAACTTTCTTAATTCATGATGCATGTACAATTAGAATATCAAAATTGTAGAATTTGTTCATGCATGTAGGAACTAAACTAGAACTCATGTAAGCTATTCAAAAGCAAATCTAAAATAATTAGCTTCCTTAATCAGGAACAAGCATGTAACTCATTTTATGTTTAAAACCCAATTTCATTCTAATTCCACGAATTTAATGTCAAATCTCAAGTATTATGGAATGATTCTACAAAATCAAGACAAAGATAATTAATTTCTAAGTTAATTTCCATAAATTTGAACATAGCTCCAATTTCCCCTTTTCTTGTCAATTTCCTAGCAAACATGGAACATATCTAATTCAAATAAAACTAACTAATTTAATATATTCCAAAATTTGTTTAAATTAAACAAAATTCTCCAATCACATTACTTGCGTACATGGGTTAATAATCAAAATCAAAACCCACATTTCATGAACTCATGGCTTCCAAACCTTTCTTCAAAATCAAATGTATAATAAACTCGCATGGTTCAATTCCTTCCAAAACTCATGGTGCATGTAAATATACATCTCATATATATCAAGGTTTATATCAAAATTATTTATTATTATTATTTTTTTATTTTTTTATTTTGCATGTACAACCCAACCTTAAATTATGATAACAGAGCTTCCAAAACAAGTTTAAATTGAATAAAATAAAAACCCTCAAATTAGATTTACATGCATAGATTAAGAACCTAAAATCAAACTAATTCTTAATTTGATCCACAATTTCAAATTTAAGAGTTAATCCGTATATAGAATATTATAACCTAGAAAAACATTTGTCTACAAAGGATTTGGGGACTAATTGACTTAAACACACTTTCCATGAAATTTTCTTGAAACCCATTTTACCCCAAGACCTCTTCAACATTCATCTTTAATCATCTCAAAACTCATCATAAATCAATTTATATCTACATTATTTAAACAATAGAAGAAAGAGGATGAGATTTCTTACCTTAAGATGATTTTTCCACAATTTTGACTTGAATTTTGATGTCTCACGGAGCCCTCTTCTTCCCCTCTTTTTTCTGTCGGTTCTCTTGCTCTCTTATTCTTTTAACTCTTTTTCTTTGCTTCACCAAATGTTTGTTTTGGGCCCAAGAAAATTGCACCTCATCTTGAACTCACCAGCACACACATACACAATTCACCCTTTGTCCACAGCCTTACACGTGCACACACATATACACACACCCAGTAATTTGCTGAATACACCAACGCTCATTTATACCCTTTAATTCTAGAGTCTTCCATAAATTAATTTATGTTTAGGATTAATTTAATTAAGCATCACTTAATCTTAATAAATCTTGATCAGCACATAATTAAATTAATTATAACAAATCATAAATCCCACATAATTTAATTAGTCTAATTTGACTTCCATTAAGGCCCAATTAATTATATTTAATTTTACCAATCCGAATCAGATTTTTAGTCAGACTCCCAAAAGGCTTCAAATATTAAATTAAATTTATTTTCAATCTCAATTTTCGTTTCTTAAATCATTAAGGCCTTCAATTTCAGCTTAAACTTCTAAATCTTTGTCAATAATTTACATATTCAATTGAACACCTCATAAATAAATTTAATTCACAAAAATCTTAATTCCTAATTTGTATAACTTAATTAACTCCGATTCGGACCCAATTAATGAAATCTCAATTTTATAAATTTGAATCGAATAGTTAATTAAACTCCCATATGGTCCGATACTCAAAATTTAAATAATTCAATTCACCATTCGTACTTTCTTGAGCCATTTAGGCTTTCAATTTCTAATTCCAAAATAAATCCTCAATAGAACCATATATAAATCAATCTCCATAATTTTCGTAAATCCCAGATTAAATTAGAATAATTGGCAATTAAATTTCAAATCTCCTTAATTAATTAAGTACTAATCATTATACGTGGTGGGGTCGTCATAGATTTGCATTCATGATCATAGTTATCTGTAAGTCGTCATTGTTGAGGATTATGTTGAGATCCTTACTGGACTATATGTTCATCCCACGTTGTTAATCTTTTTCAGGTGGATATCAAGATGTGCTACAAGGTCGCGGATCTTCCTTATTTGTTGGCCACGGGGCCTTTTATGTATAGGCGGAATGCCATCGATGTAAAAAGGGTTAAACCCTTCCTCTTGATTTAAATGATGCAAGCCTATGAGCAATGTGTTCAATTGTACTTTCTCGTTGCATTCACTTTTATCCGAATAAGAGAATTCTTGTGGATGTACTCCTTGTAAATATAATGAGTTTCTGTATGTTATCTTCGAAATGGAATTTATGGTAATGACTCTGGTAATGAATTCCGAGTAATAAAAAGTGGGGCGTGACAACTTGGTATCAGATCAAGCTTGGTTTGAATACTTTGGGCTCGTGGGAAGTGGTTTTTACCACAAGGGGGTTCGCTATGCTTGGTGAGGACGTTGCATATAGTTAGGATAAATGTTAGGATTTATATGTTGCATTTGTGTGAGCATGGGATTAAGTTTCTTGGATAGTACTTGTGGGTGGTGAACTTACTTTGAGGTTCTGTTGGAAACACGCCTGATCAACGTGGTTTCTAATAGGAATTTTTTGGGAGTTTTGGAACAAATGGCTATCTTTGTGGACTTGATTCGATTATGTGTTTAGATGTTTAAATTGTTTATATGCATTGGAAATTGTATGTTATGGAAGTTAAGTGTGTCTTGTTGCTTAGTAGTGGTGAGTGTCACGCCCCAAATTTTAATTACTTGGAAACATTACCAAAGCTTGTAATTTAGGTCTATTTTTTTTGTTTGTTTTTAACAAACATCCATTACCCTTGAGTAATAGAAATACAATAATACATTTTCTTTCTCTCTCTCTCTCTCTCTCTCTCTCTCTCTCTCTCTCAATGAATACAATAATAACAATCCATGCCAATCTCTTACTGTGAAGCTACAAATAAATAAAATTCAAATACAAGATCTATTACATCTACAATGAAATTACATATAAAAGGCACATGAACTTCTTAACTCTTCAATCACAGAATCCACACTTTCTTCCTGTAAAAAAAAAATAAAAACAACGGGGGTGAGCACTAATGCCCAGTAGGAATCTCATAGTTAATCGATAACTAACACACAGATAGAAATGATCATGCATGCAGGGTGATACCATATAGTAGAGTGACATTTTATAATTTCAAAATATCATAAGTAGTGTACCTTTTTCTCAAAAACTATCTAAACACTTTTAAGAAAAACCTTCAGCCATTAAAAATCATCCCTTAACTTAGAAAACCATAGATCCTTATGAAACAAACATATTTAAGAAACAATATCATTTAAAAGTTATTAACCAATTCCGAAAATATTTCTTATTCAATTCCCATTTTTAATGTTCCTCTTTTCCTTTCATTCGTCTTTTCTACTCATTATTTTAAATTAGAACCCCATAACTTCAAGTTCAAGTTCCTTTTTGACTCGCTAACAATTCTCCTATGCTCAATTCACACCGTTAATTGCACTCTCAAAATTTCATTTCCAAATAACACAAGATTAATTAACCCCTTTCAAATTCAATCCTTTATTTAATTACAGAACAACACTCACAATTTACTTTTATTACCACAACTATTTCATTAAGTTTACCATCACAGTCCATAATCCTCGTACCTATTTTTGGTTTCCATTCTTTACAAATAATGTCTATGCAGGTTTCCTCTTTAAACCAAATTACACATCAATATGCAATTTCACAAATTCATCACAAGTCACAAATAATATCATCGACTCAACACGCTTTTCAACACATAGCTCAACACAATCCACCTATTGCCGACTTACTACGGTGGGACAGCGAGCACCCAATCCATAACACTTTCCACCTTTCACCGACTACTATACGACGGGAACTGAACTCCAAAAAAAAAAGCCATTTTCTCAAAAGCTATTTTCATTTCAAAAACCATATTTCTCCAAAACCCCCTTTTTTTCAACTTTTGAAAACCATCCCCCACATTTTCCAGCTACTATACGGCAGGATGTGGGCACCCAAAACATTTTCAAAAACCATCCATTTTTTCACTTTTGCCGGCTACCATACGGCAGGACTATGTGGACACCCAAAAATCATTTTTCCACTTTCGTCTAGCGATAAGCCTAGACAGGGCAATTGGGCACCTTTAATTCAAACCACCCCCACATTTGCCGGCTACTATACGACGGGACGTGGGCCCCCAGAAACCTTTTTCTTCAATTTTTAAAACCATCCGCCACATTTACCGGCTATTATACGGATGGTCATGAGCGCTGAAAAATCATTTTTTTCAACTCCCATGCAGGTACCTACACAACACCACCTAACACAACTCAACACACCCAACACAACTCAACCCAAACTCAACACACTCAACACAACTCAACCCAAACTCAATACACCCAACACAACTCAACCCAAATTCAACACACTCAACACAACTTAACCCAAACTCAACACACCCAACACAAGTCAACCCAAACTCGACACACTCAACACAACTCAACCCAAAAAAACTCAAAATAATTCAAACACAATTCATCATAGTTCAACACAATTCAATTCAATATTATTCAACACACTTAATTCAACTTAAGCCAACACAACTTAATTCAACAACACTATTTGTAATTTCAACATAATTCAAGATAAATTCTTGAATCCCCTTTTAACATTCCATGACGAAGTTTATGTCATCTATATAATTAACACATCTATTTCCCCCAAGGTCATTTCATATTGTAGCATGATTTACAATGTCCATAATCAAGGTTCAATCGCTAATTTTTAACATAATTTTCAAACAATTCCAAAATTCAATTAAACTTGTATATATACAATTCAATACCTCAATTTCATGATTGTACTTTCAATTTGGGCAAAATCATTAATTATCATCATGAATCAACTTAGGGTTTTCAAGAAAAATTAAGATTTTCAAGAGAAATTCAAACTTGTCAAACCATTACTTTTTATTCCAATTTTCCCATTGATTATACACCTAAGGTTCATAATCCATAATCTTAACCCAACAATTGAACCCCAACACTTCAAACCCTAAACCCCCAATTTCCATGGTATAACACTATATGCTCAACAATATAGATTTTGCATTTCTATAATCAAAATACCACAAATCTATCTATTGATGTAAGTATTGAGGAAAAACTAGAACCCCTACCTCAAGATTGGAAACTATGGATAAAGACCCATCTTGAAACTTCAATGGAATCACAAAATAATGGGTAAAAGTCTTGATCCTTGCTTGTTCTTCAACCTTCTTGGAAGATTTGGGGTGAATCTTTGGTAAAAAGTAGAGAAATCAAGAGTTTGGGAGGCTAGGTTTTCGGGTTTGGAAGATATGAGGAGAAGAGAGGGAGAAAAAATAGAATTTTTGGGCCAAAAAGTCACTTTATAATGTCTGTTAGCGACCTGGTCGCTCGAGCAAAGGAAGCTTGTCACGAGCATGGAAAAGAAGCTCTCAGGTTTCTAAAAAACGCACTCTTCACTCGAGCGAAGAAAGTCTCGCTCGAGCGAGCATGCTTCCAGCACGGAAACTCAAAATTCAAACAGGTGTAACTTTCTCGTTCGGACTCCGTTTTCAATCGTTCTTGTGTCCAAAATGAAGCCCCAACAATAATCTTTCCAATGGTTCTGGTCTCACATTCAAATTCAAAGTATGGAAGGAGAAAAGGGAAAAAGAGTGAAGGTTGGTCAAAAACTCAAACTCAAACTCAAACTCAAACTTGGGGCTTTTCATCTAATCTTACCTAAGGCCTCGTTTGGAAAGCTGCCCGTTTAGCCAAAAGCCACTATAAAAACCAAAAAGCCAATAACCCATACCAAAAAGTCAAAGATTCTCTTTTTTCTCTACTTTTTGCACATCTTTTCGTAAAAAGCTAAAAAGTCATCCCAAACATACTAGTTTTTTTTAGCTCATATTTTAACCAAATAGCCAAAAAGTTACTAAATTAGTCTGTTTCTAAATGAGGCCTAAATACCTTGTTAAGGCTTCAATCAAGGTTCCAAACATCACCCAAGGGTCCTCAATTATAATATTTAAAGTTCACCTGCCAA